AGGAGAGGAGACCAAAGATTGAAGTCTTTATTGAAAAGCAAATGACAAGCCAAAAGTACGAAAGAAAACTCTCTTCATCATAGCAGCCTACAACTAGCTTATTTATAATAGCTAAGTCCTACTTTCATGCCACTACTAACAACCAGCTAAAGACTAGGACTATAGGATAAAAGCAAATAAAATAAAATAAAGACTTATTCAACTAACCTACTTTAAGAAAAAATCTGGATTACAAAATCAACAGAAATCTGTTGGGGGGACCAAAGAATCAATTGCTATTCATTTAACACGACTTTGTTGCTTCAAATATTGGAAAACTACTTCGGTTTTTTTAAGCAAAGGTACCACGGTTCTTTCAATTCTAGCCGAAAGGGAAGTTTTAGTTTTCTATTTTCTAACGGATTGTTTCATAAAAATCGTATACCAAGTGATTAAAAATGAAAACAAGGGTGTCTTGTTAGAGTTAGCATGAATGGTCAAGTTTTCATCGTGTAGCGATGACGTCTGCCTAACAACTGCATCATCGTTTTGCTTGTAGCTTATAATCTCACAAACCACGTATTCGTTTTATAAACTATAAAACCATCGTATCGACTTTGAGTAATCCAACTGTTGTGCATATAGATATGAGCTTCTTAATGTTTATGCAAAGTATAAATCAGATTGTTTTCATTCTGTAGCAGAAAAAGTCCACCTCAACGACCTGAAAGGAAATGGTGCTGTGCTTGACAACCTGGAGTTCGAGTTTTGTGGATCTTGCATTTCTCTCAATTGCATGTGTTGAGTATCAAATTCAAAATAATACATGGAAATTTTGTAACAACTTTGGTTTAGCGTATATGGTCTTGGATCATGTAGAACAAGAGGACATGTTTCAAACATATATGGATAGCTCAATATTGATGTACAAATGGTGTAACTGTGCGATTCAGTACGGGTGAATCATAATTCTGAAATGTTAATTTAGCTTTGAATCATGAGTTTGTGTGGTTCTTTTACAAGTCAACTAATATATAAAGTTGAAGGATAATATGGTGTATTAGTAAGATCGATTGGAAAAATAATTGCACGCATGTTGAGTTTCTAAACTCATATAAAGTTGAAGGGGTTTGGTGGGGTACGTGCAGGAACTGAAACCCTTTCTGATATTGTTGTTTCAAATTTTAGTTTACTTCAAGAGAAGAACTTTGAATTTGAATTTGGGTTCAAAATAGGAAACAAACAAAGTGTCAAACAATTTTGGGAAGACTAAACATACCTTTTTCATGTAAATATGGTTTACTTAAATTTGAAAACTTTGACCAAACAAATGATATGTTTTAAGCATTTGTACATTATGCATAATAGTTTATACTTAAGAGATTTTTGAATCTCTTGCATAAATTGACAGTACTTTATACTTTGAGACTTGTAATTAAGACTTTTGGTCTAAATGCATATTAATCTAGTATAGATTGACAACTATTTGAAAGCATTGTCTACTCGATGAAAAATAATGAAATATTGAATGGTTATTTTAGGAATAACATATTTTTCAAGACATAAATATATAAAAAAAACATAATAACTCAAATTATTCCCTTATATTATCTATACTATATTATAATACATTTGACAAAAACTCTTAAAAATCATTTTTATGCATGAAGTACTGTTTATTGAAAATTCAATATTACAAGTAATTTTGCGTAAATACAATTTATTAAAGCTTTATTTTTTAATTTGTGTAACTAATTGTATATAAACATAATCAAATATAGGATAAATGTTTATTCTAAAATTAAAAAATCTAAAATATAATTAAGATAATCATTGAGTTTTAACAAGATGTTTAATTATGATAGTTATAAAAAATTATTAAAAAAAATAACTTTGTTACTAAATCTAAATTAAATTATAATAAAAAAATTGAATTAAAGAAGTTACACCAGAAAAACGAGAACTATTAAATAGTTAATTTGATACTAATATCGATTTATTTATTTTTTTCTAATTTTTTTTTTGTTATATTCAAATTTATATTTCATTCAAAAATAAAAACATTATCATTTTTTCAAAACCACATAAAATCATATTATATCGATAAAAAAAAAAAAAAAAACTAAATATTAAAATCGAAATTTATATCGCTGCATTATGCAAACGTTGTAGTATTTTACAAATATATACTCTAATGATTCGGTTAGAAGTTTGTTTGGTTTCGAACACTATTGGAACTTTGACCTAAATGGTCAAACACGGCGGTACAATTACAAATGCTGCGTGGTGGTACAAGTTATTAATGCATGTGAAAACTTCGGCAACGAGAGTTTGAAATTGGCGCAAAACAAACACAGTATCAAAGTGCCTTGAGGTTTTGCACACAAACGAGCATCGACTAGAAATGGAAGACGACAACGGAGAGCGATCCAGCTTCGTGATCGGACTGATTGAGAATCGAGCCAAGGAGGTATCATTGATTATCTCCTAATCTCTATATATGTGTTTTTGTGTATGTGAATCTGTAGATATATTTGTACTTAATTGTGCATTCGGATTAGGGCAATGATTTTACTATTATACTCTCACGGACCAATGCACCAGTCAAAATTATGAAGAGTACCAGTTTTTTTATCTTTGTGTGTATGTATGGTTGAATGTTCGATAATCGATAGAATTCTTGATGTATATACGTAATAATGGGGATTGTAGGTGAGACAGGCGTGCAGGATTTTATATGATAGCTATGTGATCTGGTGATCGGTCTAGTTACCTGCAATTAAGTAGCAAACAGGGGCTTTGAACCCTTTGGAACCGCCAGGCATAAAGTACCAAGGGCAATGTATAGGAAGTTAATCAAATTAGAGGGAAAAGGTAGATAAAGTGTGAACAAGTCTACAGAGTGATTGAAGTTGAGCGTGTTTCCATTTTTTATCTGTTTATAATTGCAGCTCTATAACTTGCCTCTTCAACGAGGGCCATCAGGGAGGGTGCACTATGACTGGCACCTTATCCTATTATTAGTTTATATGTCTTCATGACCATATGGTTTAGATAATATTTGATGTGCAATGCAGTTTTTGCCCATGTATTGGCTTTGGTAGTTTGGGATCTAGTGTATTATTTACTGATAGACCTTGGAATCACACTTTTCAGAATTCTGTGGCTTCATTATCTTCTATGAGTATCGGATTTGGCTAGCTGAAATTGGGCATATGATGGTGATTGCTTACCTTTTCTTATTTCAAAGCCTAACTGGAGATATCCATCTTATCATCAGGTTGGAGTGGCTGCTTTTGACTTGAGGTCGGCTTCACTTCACCTTTCAGAGTACATTGAAACTAGCAGCTCATATCAGAACACAAAGACACTGCTGCATTTCTATGATCCAATGGCGATTATTGTCCCTCCTAATAAGCTAGCACCTGATGGAATGGTTGGAGTATCAGAATTGGTTGATAAATTCTATTCCTCAATTCGAAAGGCAATTTCGTCTCTATGTAAAACATTATTTATTCGTTCAGTTACCAATTTGGAGATTTAGACTCTTGAGCATATGATAACATTTGCAGGTCACTATGGTTCGTGGTTGCTTTGATGACACAAGGGTAATGCTATTTATATTAAATTGTTCCCCATTCACATTAATAGATTTAAATTCTATTGTTGGTATTTCTAATATTTATGCAACATGTTTCCGAAGGGAGCTGTGCTGGTAAAAAGCTTAGCTGCCAAAGAACCTTCTGCACTTGGTTTGGATACTTATTACAAGCAATATTATCTGTGCTTGGCCGCTGCTGCAGCAACTATCAAGTGGTACCATTAGTTTCATGAAGTTAATATATGTATGTATTTATGTTGTGAATTTGAATGGGTGATAGGTAGTAATGTCCTTGGGCTCTTCATGCTACAAGTGATTCATCATTTACTTTTTGAAATCTGCACTCTTGTCATGATATTTTTTTGCTAAGGTTTTGCATGGGATGTTGGTACACAGCTTTGGCTTAAGGTTACATGCAAACGTAATATTTGGTCAAGAAAGAAAAAGCTAACGGCAATCACTATTTCTGATAAGGGAGATTCACTTTCACCACAATTCATCTAACATGTAGTTTATTGGCGGGTAGTAGACATTTGACATTACGTGAAGGACAGTCAAGGACATACTACTCAAGTTGCATAAATATAGTTGTTTGGCTTATTAGAGCTGAGTATGGAATTTGCTTCATATATATTCTGCATTTACCTTCCCTTTGATTAGTTAAGTTCATTTTGTCTCTGTTTGGCTTTCTCTTGTATGTGATTCCATAGAATTTTCACGAGAACTCTCACCATCAAAGTGACCTATACAATGATCACCTTTTTGAAATTATTTCCAGCAAAGTTTCAGGAATAACATGCAACTTCTCTGATTATTTATATTAGATCTATTGCTTTGTGTGCTGTTAGCTTATACGAAATTGTCACCTGCTTTGCCAAACACAGGATTGAAGCAGAGAAAGGAGTCATCATAACGAATCATTCATTATTAGTATGTCCTCTAATTTCTTATCTTGTGTTCTTTTAGCAGAGAAAGCAATTCTGTTGTGAGTTTGTTCATATTTACGGTCCTATATCGCTTATGCGCTCGTCTCAACACAGGTCAAATATGTTTTTGGATTTTAGTAATCCTTTAATCTTCTACTAATTCTTGTTTTTTTTCTATATTTGTTCATCCTCAGGTGACTTTTAATGGATCATTTGACCATATGAATATTGATGCAACTAGGTACCGTTCTTTTATCTTCCGGCATGTTAAATAATCAGTAATATCAGTCCCGTCGGAAAACTCTATTAAACTTGCAACCAACTTATTATTGTATTATAATCAATGTAATAGCTTTATCTGCTTGATAGTGTCCATAACTTGGAGATTATAGAGCCACTGCATGTCACTCTTTTGGGCACGAGCAACAAAAAGAGAAGTTTATTCCAAACTCTCAAGTCGACAAGAACTACTGGAGGGTATGCTATTGATATGCTGATGGCACATTATGTTAGGTCATTGAACTTGAGCGAAACCCGTCACTCATGTGTGCTATGTCCATATCCCCTGTTTTTCTTATAGTGAAGAATAAAAAAAATACTTAAAAAGAATTTTCTGCTCTTAAAAACGTAGTATCTCAAGGATCAGAATGCTTCCCATCACTAGCTACTTTGAAGCAAGCCTGCCTGTCAAAGGTTGTATGGCTAGATTTCATTGTGATCGGAAGTTCAAGAGATCAGATGTAGTGATTGATTTGCAAAAACCATTTTTTCTCTGTTAGGATTGAGCATTCTTTGAGGGTGGCAGATCATACATCTCGAAGATAAAATTTCATAGTCTCTTGGGTTTTATTTGTTAACTGTGGCAGGACTAGACTTCTTCGTGCCAATCTCTTACAACCTCTGAAAGATATTGAAACTATCAAAGCTCGACTTGATTGTCTGGTCAGTCCTTATTGTTTTATCATGTATGTCAAAATTTCATTAGACTTTCAAACAACCAGTTTGTGAAGAAACTTCAAAGTTTTATAACTATGCTCTTAAGAGGGGTATTTTTATTTATGTTAAGCAACGGCAAGCGAAGTTCTCAGTAGCAGGATCCTCACGTCTCTCTTACATGCAACACATTGCAGTATAAGATATATGGGTTTGAAAGTTATAAATTCATTAACTAGCTTGAGGATGTCCTTTGTTTCTGCATATAGAATCTGCCATTGCAAATCTTTCCTTGCATCTTTCTGTATCTTTTGGGATTATGATCAAAGATTTATGGACTTGGATATTTATTATAAATTTTTAACATGTTAAATTTAGACTATTCATTGATAAACCACCATGCAGAAGGTTAAATCTGTCATAGAGCATGGCTGTGGCACGGGTGGCCTTAAATTTTCTTTCAAGCCGATGAATGAATTAAAAGGGGTAGATGTACTTTTGTTTTCCTTGTAAAAAGAAACTTATGAATCAGCTTAAACCAAGTGAAATAATATAAACTGCATGCAAACAAGGTTACATTCTAGGCAGAATTTGGAATAGTATAACCAGGTTGTCTCTGTCAGCCGTCTATGTGATGACTGGATGATTTATGAATAACTACTTTCCAAGCATCAATTTCTTAGTTCTCCATGCTATGGCACAACAATGAAGCCAAAGCTAGGTTTTGCTTTGGTGTCTGACCATATACCAGTATACCATTTTACTCTGCATACCCTATTCACCGGAAGAACTATAGTTAAATTTCATTTAACCCTAACTTGTTACTTGTAAATAGGTAACTCTCTCCTGAATACCTGGATTAACAGATGATATGGAACTCCATCAGATGGTTTTTTAACTTCAACATTGGGTTTTCCTTTTAGATGATATAAATATGCCATACTGGTTGCACACTTGCACTTTTATCCAGTTGACTGGGCCATCTGGAACGCTAGTTATACGAAGTCTATCCATGATGCCTGGTGGATTGATATTGTTTGCTGATAGGCTGAAGGCCCTCTCGAACAAATGGAGCCTGATTTTTGCTCTAAAATTTAGTCAAGAACTACTGCATTAATCTGTGCTCATTGGCTATTGCTGCTTGAAATGTAGAATAGGTTAGCCCTGTTAGCTACTGTGTGATAGATATTGATTTTATGTTAGAGAGAAATGAAAACACTGTAAATTATATGCAATATCATTTTAGGTCTTCATGCAATTAATTCCATTTAACTTTGTACTGTCCACAAGGCTAATGTAATAACTTCATGATACTTGCTCAACTCTAGGATGAATTAATGAGCAATGAGCAACTGTTTTTTGGGCTGTCCCAGGCTCTTCGAAAGTTTCCAAAAGAAACTGGTAAGTGTATTTAGTAGAAATTGTGAACTCTGTGTTGATAGACATTAGTTTCAATGAAGTACTTATTCATGTTGTCATTTAGACAGGGTCCTCTGTCACTTCTGCTTCAAGCCAAAGAAAGTTACAAACGAAGTCTTGGGCATTGATAATGCTAGAAAGAGCCAAGTTCTAATATCAAGCATTATTGTTCTCAAAACAGCTCTGGATGCCTTGCCATTTCTCTCAAAGGTACATATAACTTCTTGTATTTGCATGTTCAAACTCTAAAACCCTTTAGAAATTCAAAGTTCTAAATTATCTAAATGGTGTTAGGTATTGAAAGATGCAAACAGCTTTCTTCTTGGAAATATATACAAATCTGTATGTGAAAATGAAAAATACGCTTCTATAAGAAAAAGGTAAATACTTGGTTTGTTTCATATTTTTTGACTACACACCTTCTACCATAGTCTTTGACCAGACATACCCCTTCAGGTTGTTGATAAACATCATACTTTCTCTATTGCTCCTATATAAAAAGATACCATATATAATCCCTGTCAATGCAAGGGAAGGAAGTCCACTTTGATTCCTAATATATATTTAATCTCAGAATTGGGGAGGTGATTGATGAGGATGTACTTCATGCACGTGTTCCTTTTGTTGCCCGGACACAGCAGTGTTTTGCTGTCAAGGCCGGAATAGATGGATTTCTGGATATTGCACGAAGATCATTCTGTGACACCAGTGAAGGTACCGATTTGGTCAATTTTACTGAATGGTGTTGACTCTAATTGGTGTGATACACTTGATGGCCATAGACTCTAATTGGTTAACATGCACAGCTATACACAACCTTGCAAACAAGTATCGTGAAGATTTTAAGCTTCCAAATTTGAAAATCCCGTTTAACAATAGGCATGGATTTTACTTCAATATTCCCCAGAAGGACATACAGGGAAAACTTCCTAACAAGTTCATTCAGGTAGCAAAGGAGATACTTGCCCATGTCCAGAGTCTCCTGCTGTGATTGTACTGATGTTTCTATTTTCTTTCGAGACAAATTTAGGTTATGAAGCATGGGAACAGCATACATTGCTCAACTCTGGATCTTGCTTCTGTGAGAATTATCATCACCACTACATCTTTGTTTGATGATTTTATTTTGGTAGAATCTTGGTTAGTTTTTTGGTTTTCTGATCAGTACTCCCTTTTAAAGCTAACTTGTCTATCGTCCAAGTTGTTTAGTTTGACCATATTTTTCCAATGGAAATTTTTGGTAGGTTCCCCAGAACTAGTGTTCCATGAGCCCAATGGAGAACCCTTGATTTCTCTATGATTATCTACTTGCCTTTTAGAGTATAATAGTTTTTAATTGTAACACTGAAACTTATTATAAAAGTACAAACACTAGATAAATTTCAATTCAGTGGACGCTGAAAGAGTGACTCCTTTTTTCTAGAATGCACTGTCATCTGTCATTCAATCTTTTATAATTTCCATAGCACGTGAACTCCTATTTATAATCAATGAGCTGTGATGAATCTTCTGTTTCTAGTCATGTACGTGTGAATTAGGTGGTGTTGATTGAGCGGGAAAAATATTGGTTGCTTCTATATTTCATGTTTTACGATGATGGTTATATATTTTATAGATAAAAATGCATTGTTCTGCGTTGCTTGGTATTTTTGTAAGAGCTCGATACATATGCTACACTAGATGATTTTGCTTATTCAAATCTGCAGTTAAATGCAAGAAACAAGTCTGCAGCCAAGGAATGTTATTTGCGTACAGAACTTTGCTTGGAAGGTGGTATATACAATCATCTTTTGGTTTGTATAGTTGGGACTGTACCGTCATTCCATGTTGAAGCATTATTATTTTCAACTTCTCCATCTATTATTGAAAAAGTAAACGTTGTATACTATCATTTGCATTTCATTCGTTGTACATTTGTACCATCTAATTAGCAGGTGTTATACAATGGCTAATTTCGAGATGCAAGTTTTCTGCAACCATCAATTTTCTATATTAGAACACGTACAATCTTTATCGTGTCTGATGAAATATATGAGAAGATGGAATTTTATATTTCTTGCTTTCAACGGGAACACAACATGGCTTTTATAGCCAACAAACTAAAGAGGAAAAACAACTCATAATTACAAAAGATTACGAAGGATTTTAAATCAACTAAAACGTACTAGGAGCCATATCCTTGTCCTTTTAAATCAGCAGCCAGAAGTAGGAGGAAGCAGAAAGGTGAGCAGTAGGAAGAAATCAGATGTGGTAGGATACACCATACTGCTACAGTAGCAGTAATCTTACTGTAGCAATATAGGTTTTACAGTATCTTTTCTACTTTTACCATACAAACATTTTCATGGCTTTAACTGTTGTACTTTAAGATTCTTCACATAGCATATCACTGTAAAAATTTATGTGTATGCGTGAATCATGGCTGTGAGGCTGTTTAGCGCCCACCATGGTTTCATATTCTTTGCAGTTTCAAAGCATTTAAGCTGATAATTGATCAGTGATCTTTTTGACTGCGAGTGTAGATTTATGTAATAAACAACTCTTGGATGCTGTGCAGTCAAATTGCTGAATGCTAGTCACTTTGGTGCTTACTTTATGGAACACTCTCCTGATTCAGAATTTATCTTCCTTTCATTAACGTGCAGCACTCATGGATGCAATCCGGGAGGATGTCTCTGTGCTCACCATGCTTGCTGAGATCCTATGCCTATTGGATATGATTGTTAATTCATTTGCTCACATGATTTCAACCAAGCCTGTTGATCGGTACATTAGGCCTCAATTTACGGGCAAGTGTTTTAACGATTCTCTTTCTGATTTTGGTCCCAGAATGATTATGACATAAAAGCTCCATTTGTATGTTTGCTGATAGAGAATGGACCGCTGGCAATAGATGCTGGAAGACACCCTATACTAGAAAGTGTGCACAATGATTTTGTTGTATGTTATGCTCCTTTATATTCATAAAATTAGATTATTGCTGTAGAACATATTTGTATAAAGATTTTCATCGGAAAGCTTGCTAGCGTAATGCATTCTGGTTTGATGTTCTTTTTGCAGCCCAACACTATCTTCCTTTCACAGGCTTCAAACATGGTGATTGTCATGGGGCCCAACATGTAAGAAACATATTATTTTTCTCATTTTCTATAGCATTCATTACTCGATAAGGTCTTAAACCAACTCATCTCGAACTAAATTCCCTAGACAGGGAAATAATATAGCTGCCAGAGTGTTAGAATTCTTCATACCATGCAAAAAAGTCTTAACCTCTATAAGAACACCCAGTCCATCTGGGAAGGGGGTGTTTAACGCACCCCTGAATGTATTCTTGCTAGTACTTCATGAACATATAATGAACTCAGTTACTATAGGGAGCATATTGTGAATATCTATAAAAAATTGGATACTTTGTGAACATAAAGTCCCAAGGTATTGAAACCCAAAAAGAGGCTGGCCCAATAAGTTCTGACCATCTGTCAGAGAAAAAAGAAGGAACTACGGTACTTACATAGCAACATATGTTAACCATATATACTTGTGAAAAGATAATAAGATCCGTCACGAAGAAGAGCATAGTAAACCACCACTCATTTGTGGAAAGACAAATTAGTGATGTTATTAGGATTCCTGAATTAGTGATGGAACTGATATCTAGAAAGGGTCAAATGCAAAGACCTCCAATTAGCAACTATCTGGTGATTACAAAGAACCAAGACGTAAGTTCGTCCTCATAAATGAATGCATGTGGCTGGACTTTATTCATGAATATGCCTTCCTGTTATTTGTGCTCACTTTTTGTTTCGCCATCTGCTATATCTTGGACTTGAGCATGAGGCTTGCAAAGCATCCTATAGCTCAAGTATAACAATACGCAGCTTCCTTCAGGAGTGGAAAAAGTACATACCTTCAACAAATATGTCTAATTGTCATCCTTGCTCAAATTGGCTGCTACATTCCTGCCCGCTTTGCAACTCTAAGGGTGGTTGATCGTGTTTTTACAAGGATGGGCACAGTCGATAATCTTGAATCAAATTCTAGTACGGTACATACTAAATTACTTCCTCGCCTAAATTACTTCCTTGCCTTTTTCTGACCAGATCACTTAATTCTACACAAGTCTGTACTACATCTGTTCTTAATATTCACCGAAATGTAGAGTTCAGTATATGGTGTTATGTGATTACATGAAAGCTCATGCATGAAGTCAACATCTAGTCCTTCACCAGTTAGGCTGTGTTTGGTACATGGGACGGGACAGGACGGGACGGGACAAAACTCATTGTCCCATGTTTGGCGCAACATGGGGACAGACAAGAACTCACTGTCCCACGTTTGGCGCGACATGGGACAAGGACAAGAACTGAGACAAAGTGGGACAACATGGGACAAAAGAGGTTTTTTCTTGTTCCATCAAAATAGGTGGAACAAGATGGGACAAGAATGAGACAGAAACTAAAATATTACTAATCTATCCTAGTTTGATATATAACCTTAATATGATATTTGTTTTAATGATCATCACCGCTAGTTTCAGCCGCCGCCACCACTACCGACGGTCACCGGCGGCCACCTCCACCTCCACCTCCTCTTCCACTACAACATCCTCCACCGCCTCCACAACCACCGTCCACCAAGTCCATTGCCACCTCTACCATAGTCGACCACTGACCACCATCGTCCATTGCCACCACCACTACCGTCGTTCGCCACCATCAACTCATCCTCTACTGCAAACAACCTCCTCCACGACCTCCACCGGCCACCACCATTCATTGCCACCTTCACCTTCACCTCCACCATAACCACCACCACCACTATCTTCACTACATCAACCACAACTACCTCCTCCACCGTTGTCAACCGCCACCACCATAATCTACCATCTTCATGTCCTCTATAAACCACCGTCGTCCACCAAGCACCACTGCCTCTACCTCCATAACCACTGTTGGCCACCGACCACCACCGCCCGTTGCCACTAATACTGTCAGCCACCACCACCTCCACCATAACTAAAACCACCTTCACCAACACACTACTACCATCAATTATATCAATTTTTTCATTCAAATTTGGTACAAATATGAAAATTATGTACAAATATTTATAAATTAAATTCTTTAATTATTTACTTTATTTGTGTTAATTATAACTAGAATATAATATTTAAAATCATCAAATAGCTTTTGGGGGTAGCTTCTCTAGTTATGTCTCGTCCAGTCCTAGTCGTACTAAACACCAGACATACTCCTGTTATGTCCAGTTTTGTCATGTTCTGTCTTGTCCAGTTTTGTCCTGTTCTGTCCTGTCCAATTATGTCTGCGTACCAACGCTACCTTATGGAGGTTGCTTAGGTTTTCCCCTACACTATTGGAAATCACAGTAGAAATCGGTAATACTTTTTTCTTGTAATTACTCTCTAGGTGTCAAACAAAACAATCAAAGGGTACTAAATAAGTGTCATCCATTTCTTACTTTTGAATAGTTCTTATATTTGGAAATGGAGGATATTCCCTTTTATACCACAATTGGACGAATTGCGAGTCTTGTATATGACTTGGGGTTCTCTTTGTGCACTGCCTTTATATTAAAAAAGCAATCCAAGACTAGACAATTAAAAGGGAAATATTACATTAGTGTAGAATAAACGATCAATGGCCTCCCTACCACCTGCTAAGCATAATGTTTCAATGCCACATTCAGATATACTTTAGCACCTGATCAGTCTGAGCTGTGACCAATCAAATACTCCGATTCATGATCCATGTCATATTATAAATTACTTGATCTTATAGACAATCATTTGAAAGACTTATTTGGCTTATTTCATGACAATTAATAAACAAGAACTTGTCTGGAATATATGGGTCAAGATAGGTTACCTTTGTCTAATGGATCATGAATCAAAGGGGCAGGTTAGGCGAGAGTAGGAAACTATTCTGTCCTTGTACTACAGACATAAAGTCTTAGTGACTCGATATAACTCAAGTCAAAATCTTTTATATGCTACAAATATAGCTTACTTGACTGGATTAGTGTGTTTTACATATACGCTATTTTGTGTAGTCATTTTGGTTCAACTCAAATGGAACTAATAGAAATCAGAACTACATTTAGAAGTTATTACCACCCCTTCTGGAAATTCGATGGTGCAATCAAACTGCTATCATTACTCCCTTTTTTTCATGAATCTCACTGATTGTCTTTGTATACACATTACCCTAGGAAGCTCTCTAGAAGTTCTATACCCCCAGATTATTCTCAAGAACTTCAATTTTGCAGTTCATGACAGAGATGAAAGAGACAGCTTTTATCTTGCAGAATTCCTCTGAAAGGTATACCAGCATTACAATCAAGTTGGTATCAATGACAGATTCTGTTGCTTATTCATGTAACATATTCTGTGATTGGAAACAGGAGTCTCGTTGTCATGGATGAGCTCGGCAGGGCTACATCTTCCTCTGATGGTTTTGCAATTGCTTGGAGTTGCTGTGAACTACTATTAGCACTCAAAACGTAAATTCTTAGCCATACAACTGTTTATATATCATGCTTGCAGTAGCTAGAGCTGTCAAGAATGTGCCTATGAGAAGCAAGGATATAGTATCACTACAAAGATAATTCCTACAGCACTTATATTTCATTTTCTCCAGCAAGCCTTATCAAAAACTAGCTGGGTTTGACTAAAAATGAACTGAAAAGCTTTAAGACTGACGAAACTCAACAGAAAACCAACTCCCCAGGGTTCTAGGACATAAAGACATCCTTCCACTCATGACTCACCCCTATCAAAGGTCAACTCCTGTGGTAATCTCTCTTTGCTACTCCTACCTATGTCAGCCTTGCTCAATCCTTGCCTCTCCCAAAACGACTCTCAAATGACGCAAGTTCTCTTAGCCGGTGAGTTGAAAGGTAATTGGAACTTGGAGATGACCAGGCTATCTCAAACATTTTGTGCTGGTGCCATCCAACGTCTCCCTCGTATCTCATTTATGATCAAATGCTTCATTGTGTGGCCCCACATGCATCCACCTCAACACTCTCCTACCACACTCATGTGTGCATGCTGTCTTTATGATAAAAACCTGATGAGTATGACCTAGTTTACTGATTCTTGACCTAGGCAGAACCTTTGGAAGGAGGGCGGCATCTCCTGTTTCCTAGAGAATAACACCTGCTTCTACAAACTTAATCTGGAATAATACTCCAAGTCTAACTGCCCAAGCTTGTATATAGTTTACATATTACTCTAATAGTAAAAAACTAATCTCCTAATGCGTGCCAACATTTTGACTACTGCTTGTCACTTGGTTTCAGTTACACAATATTTGCCACACACATGGAAAACCTATCGGAACTGGCCAGCATATATCCAAATGCGAAGATTCTTCACTTTGATGTTGAAGTAAAAAACAACCGGTTGGATTTCAAGGTACCAGCTCATGTGAACTTTATATATGTATAGTTCCTGAGTGATGGCTACATGTCTTTCTAACTTGTTGATTCACATGAACAGTTTGAGCTGAAAGATGGATTGCACCATGTACCACATTATGGGCTTCTATTAGCAGGAGTAGCTGGGTTACCAAGTTCAGTTATTGAGACTGCTAGAAATATCACTTCAAGGATTACAGAAAAGGTGAATGGTCAAATTGAAAATCTTGTGCATTATATTTTCCAAGAAGTTGCTCATACTGTTGGATTTTATAAATAGGGAGTGAAGAGGAAGGAAGTGAACTATGAGCAATATCATGGAATTCAGATGGCATATCGAGTGGCTCAGCGTCTCATATGCTTGAAATATTCCACCCAAGATGAAGATTCCATCCGACAAGCACTTCAACATCTTAAGGACTGCTACGCCAATGGTACAATTTAGATAAGTCAATTGTCATGCCACTACACATTGAGCATTAAAAGGAATTGGGATGGTATCCTTTTTCTTTTTCTTTTTAAAAGGAAGAACATGCAATGATACCATTTATCCATTGTGGTTTTTTATCTCCACTAAACATATAGAAATATTATTGAATATTGGTCAAAAGATATATCAGAGTGCTTAAAGGTCCCAGGTTCGAATCCAATGAGGAATAAAAATTTTCTTATGGCCACGAAGGTTCAAATGTGGTGACTTCAGGCTACCCGCGAAACGGGTGGTCACCCTGGGATTAGTCAACTCACATAGCAGGTTGGATATCCAGGTTAATCAAAAAGATATATCAGAGTTAAAGCTAACATTTAGGTTTCAAAATAAAATAAATACCATGAAAAACTTGCAATGATACCATTTATCTATTGTGGATTTTATCTCCTTTGGTTCTCGCATCAAGTAATTGAAACTTGTATTTACATCAAAGAGAAAATTTTGAGTGTTAACCACTCCCACAATAGAAGACCATAAGCAAATAGAGCTTGAATTGTCTTTGGAATGGCAAAATTGTAATTCAATCAAAATATGAAAAGATGATAATGTGTATTGATCGGAAATATAGAAAAAGGAAGACTGAACAGGGTACTTTTGTTGCATTGTTTCCATCATCCTTTGGCAAATTATCCAAGAAAATATTATGAGAAAGTTACGTGTCTGTAAATAGCAAAGATGAGACCAGCACAAGATAAGCAAGAAAGAAGAAGATGACTATCTGCATGAAGAACTTGGGATTGTCCCTCATGTTTGGAGACGTAACTGCCCTGAAAACCGCAACAACAACAAAATAATCACTTCTATAGTTTCACATGGTCCATCTACTACTTATAAAAAAAGTTTAAGAAATGAAAATTAGGAGTTACCTAGCAATGCGTTGAGAAAGACGAGGGAAGGGCATACTCTGAATAAACACGATTCCTGGTCCTGTCACCATCGCCGTTACCAAGTTCTCCCCCTAAGATAAACCCCACCATACAATACAAGAAGCTTTTAGAAAGTAACACATATAATACTTTAACTTCAAATAGTTAAAACAAGGATAAGCAAAGTTACCCCAAAGACCACCCTTCTCATTGGACCATTATATTTTACTTGCACGTTTACTGTAGACGATAGTGCAATGACGCTAGACATATCCACTGAAAGTGTTTCGCCAACCTCCAGATTTTTCTGCACAACTAACACCAAAAAAAGGAAACAAAGATACATGGAAACCTATTAATCCAACACATGTCCTGTAACATTACATGTATTTCTCCAACAGAATAGAAAAGCATTCACTGGTTATAAAAGGCATACCAGATCCACCTCCGACTATGAATGCCAGACCTTGTCCAGATAGTTTTTGTCTCAAGAATCCCTACAAACTCCACGCATGTTAAATACGTTAACTAAGTTTAACAAATTTGAAATAAAAATAAGAACCTGGGATGACCTCACCTCAACACCAGCTACAACGTTACGTGCCCTCTGATCAAATGTGCTACTGACCTTCACATCACCAACAGAGCAAAGAAATGCATCTGGCTACAGAATAATATTAAATTATTAACAAGTTCATGAGTACACTAGTTCTCAGTACAAAATATATGATGGTGTGAAAAAGATGCTTTGAGAAAAGGCAATGAATCAGATGTACCTGGCATAATATTTCACCGCCGAATGTTGCCAAGTCAATCTACAGAGCTGAAATAGATCAGAATCAAGCACAAGAAAACTAAATGCATTCAGATTGACTAAAATACGAACCGGGAGAATCCTTCCTAGAGAAGGTGCAGCAATGCCAACAAATCCATCAGTTGATCCAGCATTTAGAAAATATGTTTTAGTCACGTTCTTCCCAAAGAGCCACTGCCACATTCCTGCTTCATTTTCTGGGGCATAAACATTTTCCATTTGAATGGAGCCAGACATATAGCACATGCAACCTGTGAATAATAGACATAACATTATCCCCTTATTCTTTTTAATAAAATAATACCACAATGGTAAACAAACAAGCCCGATTCAAAGCAAGAAGTAACATAAAAATAACGACTGGGTTCTTTTTCCAGATTAACCAAAGCCAGAAACCTCGCTACCATCTCAATCTACAACTGGAAGAAATATCTAACGACTTTTGCAAACCAAAGCCAGAAACCTCACAACCATGTTTCCTCGTGAGAAAGTGACATAAAAATATGGGTTTTTTTTCCAGATTAACCTGGATATCCAACCCGCTATGCAAGCCGACTAATCCCAGGGCTACCACCCGCTTTGCGGATATCCCGGAGTCACCGCATTTGAACCTCCATGGCCACAAGGGGATTTTTATTCCTCCTTAGATTTGAACCTAGGACCTCCAGGCACTTTTGACCTTTGGAGCCCACACTTAAACCAATCGGGCACCACCCTTGTTTAGAAGGTAAGAAGTTAGTTAATCTCAAGTACCTGGTTTTGCACTGACCTTGTCCTCTGGCTTCAACATAATCTGGCAAGGACATCAGAATTGTGACAGTGAGGGTTAAGACTTATCTTGAAGGACAAAGAACATTTTCGAACAACCTTAAAGATACTTAAAAGTACCTGAACTATCTGAGCTTCACCACCCAAAATCTGAAAAGGCGTGACAGCATCTTGCTGACTCTGTTGTACATCAGCCCCCATATAAGTAATTGAGCAACAGAAAAGGTAAGCAAAGATCATGCAGGTGCTCGAGGCCTAAATGTTCATGTTATATAGCAGGGGGGTGCTCATCCATTTAAGAAACTAATCAATGCATGCTATTGTAAACAAAAGAATAAGCTCCAGAAGCAGTCATTTTACTTTAGCTTGGAGTGGAAATGCTACATTTATATTCTCCTTCCTCTAAAAAATTGCACGAGCTTATAAGCACGTTTTGAAGTAAACGCCGCCACCTTTAGACACATATAAGTCCACAAGTATAAGCACTATATTCTGACTTTATTTGGACAATATCAAACAAGAGTTTCCATTGAATGAATAATGGATCCCAATCATTTTACTCCGCAGGAAATGGAACAAAAAGCTGCTGAATTGGCCTATTTCTTTTCAGAAAACTCTATTTATTATGGTGAGGATGGCAGGCAGGCCTATATTTCAAATGATGCCTTAGAAGCAATTAAGCATGATCATAGGGGGCACACATGTTTTTCTTGTGCAATTGGACAAGGGGAAGGCAGTTTCAAACCTGCTACCTCCAACGCATTACCAGCTAGGGGAGGAAGACACCTGATTTGATGAGCATATATGCTCCCCATCACATCCTTCCCTACTCAATTGGTTTTGAGTTTGGATCAAGAGGTCTAGTATGGCACAAGAGCATGCTATTTCACATGTAGGTCCAACAGTCCACCTGCATTGTCTGTGTCACTCGAATGATTTGTACACATGTAAGGTCCTGAAGAGGTCTGTAACATGTGAAGGGATGTGTTTGGACTAGTGACCCTACTTTGGAAAGCATAACTTATTTCACGAGTATATTTGGTTTGGCGTTGGCCACATACATTCATAACCAATGACAACATCTTACATTAAAGTATTTTATAGTGTTTAGTTTTCTTTGCACTTTCGATTAAGGAATTGATGAACTTAACATGGAATAATGAATATAATGCAGCTAAAAGGTCTTTAAACATGATCCTGAAGAAGCAAAGTCATAACTTGGCTGTATAGACATAAACACGCAACCAGTACACAGTTAGATGATCAGCACCTTGCTGCTACAAGCAACAATTCTAAACTCGTTCATCAGCATTATACACGTTCAGGATGTAATCCCTGCACATCCGTGAACTACGCACAAGCGATTTTATTTCTTTACTTGTGCTTTGTGCTGGTCAGAAAATAATCCCCAGAACTTGACAATCTGCTTTCTTCATTAACATAAACTAAGCGAACTAACTGCACTTCAAACTTTAACTTTCAGTTTGATCACTAATAGTCAATTATAAGCGGTTGCATGAGTACACACTCTCCTAAAACATGAAAACTTCAAAATTCTAATTAAAGAACAAGTACATGAGCCAATCAACACGCTACACAAATGTTGCCTAACTCTCACAACTACCCAATTCCACCTCGATTCTACGCTTGATACCCAACCTTGGCACGGTCAGCAACATAAAATCATTAGTTCCATAGAAAGCGATAAAACAAATAACCACCTTCAATAGCTTTTGCAATTTGTTCCCTATCTGGCTATCTCCCCTTGATTAAACCTCAGCATAACTAGCATATCACGTATCTAATCATCAATCGTAGCAAAACTTCAGAACATAATAAATCTGGTTCTCAACTTAACCATCAATTCACGTATCGGTAACCCATGGTAAATATCGAATCAACATACATTCAGATAAGCACAAACACACAGACGCGCGTAAGTCAATTTGAGATAAACAAAACCGAAAACTGAAATTCACATGAAATATAACTACATACCTGATAAACGAAGGGTTGGAAAGGCGTTGAAAAGAATGGAGCCGCCATGAGCAACGGGAAATACAAAGAGGCACTAAAATTCGAACAACGATCAAACAATAAGCGCTGAAATCAAGAAATTATGACAGATCGATCGATCGATCGATCGTTTTTGGTTTCACAGTCCACCGGTCAATACTGTGTTCCTGCCCGATTCAGGGTAAATTCCGGAAATTCGCGTTTCTACGACATATATTAACAAAAAATTATTCTCAATAAAATACCTCCATCATATTATATCAAAAATTATATTAATTTTATAATTATTTATTAAAATCATTTATTGTATTTTCATAGTTTTATGATCAAAATAAAGTGAAGGAAATTCATTTAATCGGGTTTTATTTGATTTGAATTATCTCGGATTCCCTCTTAGCCTTTTCATATCTTTCTCTATGTTTTCATCTTCTCTCTTTTTTTTGATAACTTGAAACTAACAAGACTAAACAGGTAAACGCTTACTGTTAGGAGTTAGCATTATAATTTATTTTTTGGGTAAGATTGTAGTACATTAAAATAGAATGATATGCAATAATTTACTTGATAAGCACTTACCCGGGTAAGAGTTGTTACCCTCATTTACCGGGTAAGACTCTCTATACTTATCATCACTCTTACCGGATAAGATTTTTGGGTCTTACCATGTTCATCCGATGAGAAAAATTGTTCAATAAACACTTACTGGGTAAGCATTTAATAAACGGCTCTAAATTGTAACTTAAGAGTTAAAGACAACTCATGGTCACTAAACACGAAGATCCTGAGTAGATCTATACATGATTGTTTTCTGTGTTTTTTTGTTTTTTTTTTATTTTGTTAGTTATGTGTTTTTCAAAGGGTCTGTTTACCAAACACTTATCCGGTAAGCGTTTACTGGTAAAATTTAACATTATCATTTACTTACCGGGTACGGTTTTAGTCCAACAAAACGGTATCTTATGCAACAATTTACCCGATAAGCATTTACCGTGGTAAGAGTCGTCGCCCTCACTTACCGGGTAAGATTCTTGGTCCTTACCGGGTAAGATTTTTGGTCCTTACCGGGTAAAATCATTGGTCCTTAGCATATTCATCCAGTAAGGTAATGTGACTTGGTATTTACTTACCCGAGTAAGCATCTAGTAAATGGCCCCTAAGTCTTCTAATATATGTTATGCACTTCGATATATTAGACTGTTTGCTTTTGTAAACTGATAAACGTCTGAATTTGTTTAAATTGTCTATTTTATCCATTAAAAATTATATTATTGAATTTATAAATAAAATTTATACAATTTCACATATTTATTCATTATCATCATGAAATTTACTTCTAAATTATATAGTTACCATTCATTTACACGAAAATATGTAATTAACGTATTTAACACATTTAAATCCTATTAAAATACATCAATCAAGAGACATGAGGATTGATTTGGTAAGGATTGATTGAGAGAAATGATCAATTAAGGTTTAATCAATAGAAAAACGTCGTTGTTGTAGATTTGAAGAACAATAAGAGTTCAAACTTTTTCTATGAAAAAAAGTCCTCATAAATGTTTCCATGGTTTTTTTGCACTTTAAGGGGATGTTTGGATCATGGGAATTTGGTGGAATTGAAAGAAATTGAAATGTTCAATCCTTTGACCAAATTCCAAATAGAGTGTTTGGTTCACATAATTGATGTGAAGGAATCCTTCCAATTCCAACAAATTCCTTAAGTTATTGATTTCACAATTTTACCGCATATACCATGGATTTCAAATTCCAATCCGACAAATTCCTTAGCCCTCATCCATTCATCGACGCTATATCTCGATTTTATTTGTTCTGCTATGCTCGATCTTGTTTAAAACTAATAATGGCAACGGGCCAGGTTCGGGCCGGTTATTGGTATCCCCGTCCCCGAAACCGATAACTAAAACCGTCCCTGTGACCTCCCCGATCCCCGTCGGGGATCCCCATCGGTCCCCGCGGTTTCCCCGATCCCGGTTGGGGAACCTGTTAAGGTAAAAATCATTTTTTTCCAGTTCACCGTTGGTTATAACCGAACCCGAAACAGATCTAAAAAAAATTAAAATATGTTAATTTTCACAACTAAAAGTAAATTACAATTTTTTTAAAGATGCAAGTTTAAATGTCTCAAACATAATCGAACCAATTACAAACAATGCATTATATGATAATATAAAACTAAACAGAACTTCAAACATCATACAACTAAAATCACGATTTCATAATTAGACAAATAAACTATACTTTTTCGTGAGCCTTATTTGGATTCTTGAAGTAAAGTGGATAAAAGTTTTTTAAATTTTAATGTTACGATTTTCTTTTAATGATATTATATATATATTTTATATATATATATATATATATATATATATATATATAGACTTGGGATCATGTGAGACCAATGGTTTTCCGTGAGACCCGTAAGACCAGTTCTCAACCCTTGGATTAGATTTACAACCGTCAGATATGAACATTTATAAACGCCACGAGACTTCTCACTAATTACGAAATTGCCACCTTGCAACTTTGCAACCATTAGATCATTAATT